AAGGGGAAAACTACAAGATCGTGGGTTACCTATGCTGTATCTTGAAAGAGCACGGAATCACAGTCCAGACCACGTTACAGATGTACAATATTCGCAACCAGGAGCCACACAGTACTCACACTCGATGTGATCTGGATGGATAAGACGTATGCCGAATGGAAAGGTATGGGTCTACCCAGCACAGCAGAAGAACTCACACATATTGGAAAAGACAAACTCCTAAGCGTCCTACCTACAGAAAAACGGGAATCGAACTATCATGATCTGCTCCTTAAACCCACGAAGGCGACTACCAAAAGGCAGGAGTGATCACACTAGAAACCAAGGAGATTAATAAAGTTCTCGCCATCCCAACAGCCAAACCACCTAACCCGGTCGCGACCAAACTATCCAAGGCTACGCGAACAGGGAACTACAGTAACTCAGTGCGAGCTACACCCCCAGGCCTACAGACACTGGACAAACTAGCGGAGGTACAACCTCATGAAGGGGGCTCCCTCATGCAAGCACTTCGGACGATGCATCCGAAGGGGGAGAGAAGATAACAGCACAGCACGAACAACCGGAATCACCGCAAATGACAGAAATGGCAAACTTTTCGCCGATTCCAATGACAGAACGTTTTGTGAACGCACATGAAGACTGGATGGAGTTTGGGTACACAGATTTCGAAGTGGATTTGACGGGAGGACTAGGACAGGAATCCATTGATCAAGAGACTCTCGCATATGACCCAATGACTCAGGATCCAGCAAAGTACAAGTATCTTTTCACCAAGCCAAGCACGTTCGAGGAAGCTTGTGACCACCCGGAACCATTTCAGCATCGTTAGCCAGTTACAGTAGGTTCATCGATCAGTGACAGTGGCAAACGTACCGAACACACTCACACTCAACTTCGGCTTTGCTCGCCACACTCCGTTACCTCGCATTGGATCATTATATGTCGAATACACGCACAACCGAAAATTGTCAAACCAGCCATTGTAGCTAGCTACCGTAGAGTTGATCGATCGGTGACAGTGGCAACAGTACCGAAAGTTTGGGCTTTGCTCGCTACACTTCGTTTACCGGTTACCTTGCATTGGATCCTTATGCGAATACATGCACAAAACGAATATTGTTAATCCAGCCATTGTAACTGGCTACCGTACAGTTACTTGGACAGTGGCAACAGTACCGAACACACTTAGGTTCCGCTTTACTTGCTACACTCCATTGCCGGTACCTTGCATTGGATCCGTAATGACGAATACATGCACAACCGAACATTGTATAATCCAGCCATTGTAGCTAGTGCAATACACGGCTCTTAGCCTTATTCGCGACTCGATCCTAGATAGGGTTTGAGTTCGACTCATGACTGAGTCTCGTGAATAGTCATTGAGACAGGGTTCTCATGACCGCTAGTCATACTAGGTTGATATGAAACATCGCCTAGATATTTAGCTGGCGTGGAGATTCCACGCTACTAGATAATGCTAGACGAATCTTCCATGCGTTCCGTTTTTGGATCGTGGAGTGAGTAGGATTGCTACCGCAACCTACTCTATCACACTTACAGTCTCCCGCGGAGTTCAGATCTACGATCCTTTGATTGTGGATCTCTCTCGTTGATTAGTTTTCATAGCTTTCTAATCCTCTCATAACTTCATTCTCTCAAACTCAAAACACATCGAAATCTTTACACTAGCTTTTTGCGTTAGCTGCACTAGCTACCGTAGACTTCATCGATCAGTGACAGTGGCAACAGTACCGAACACATAGGTTCTGCTTTACTTGCTACACTCAGTTACCGGTACATTGCATTGGATCATTATGAAGAATACATGCACAAAACCGATTATTGTTAATCCAGCCATTGTAACCGGCTACCGTATAGTTACCTTTGGCACGTGGCAACAGTACCGAACACACTCAGATTCCGGCTTTGCTGGCTACACTCAGTTGCCGGTATCTTGCATTGAATCCCTTATGACGAATACATGCACAACCGAACATTATGAATCCAGCCACATCTAAGAAGCGACATAATGGGGTAGCGCGGAGGAAAACAGTGAGGTTGGTTACAAAACAGCAAGGTCAGTCGATGGTAAGGTTCCCAATTGATAAGCCCTCTTCCTGAATTGGCAGCCATGGTCACCAGTCCATGAGCAAAGGGTATCAATCAGAGACCTAACAATGCTATTGAATCGACAAGGTCTCTACTAGTGTAATGGGTATGGTCTATAATGCAATCGTATGGTCTATTTGGTTGGTAATCGGCGTTCTATTCTCTAGTTTAATCTATCTTATCGTACGAAACCACCAAGTTGTCGTTGACTTAGTCAAATCCCCGAAACTGACTTGTGCATACAGGAAAATGGGTACCGACACAGGAATCACCACCAAAACACTAGGAAATAACAATGGAGGGATGAATCCAGTAGGCGGATCCATTCTCTTGTGTGCATTCGAGTTGTCGTGTAGCCTCCTCTTGTTGCCATTTAATGACTCGACTCGATGACGAGTGCGTTCATGCTGTTGATAGCGATGAGATTATGCCATAGGAGCCATATGGGTGCGGCGCAGCTGTGCTGGCTCAGTCTGATGGAAAGATCACTGTTGCATCTGTACAGTCTTTCAGTACAATGAGCTGTGTCACCATCAGACAAGATACATGTAGGAACAGCTGTAGAGGACATAGAGTTCCTCTGCAAGGAAGGATGATGCAATTCCTCAGCCATGACCTATCTAGAAAGATAGCTTGGTCAATACCAGCCAAAAGAGATGCATGGATCTGTATCCTGCATGGCTGGATGGAGTTTCACGCAAAATCAGAGTTTGTGTTCATGTTATAGTTTAAAGAAGTAATGAAGAAGTAGTTGACCTGAGAAACAGACCCAACAGCACAAGTAGAGCTCTGCAGTAGACTGGATCCTGTGTGGCCAGTGCCAGGGTATTGAGCAATTAGACTGTCCAATCATTGCTTCCACAGTGATTGAATAGCATTGGCTGCCAGCCTTGGGCTGGCCTTTCCAGCGCCAGTGGAAGGAGATCTCCACCAAACAGAGTTCTCCATCCCAGTTCTTGTGCGCCTACCAGCTGAGTTCCTCTGGAATTCATAGGATAGGGCTGGAGTTAATAGTCTCCTCTGTAGCTATAGCCTCTCCTCTCTAGCTAGCGATCGATCGTTTGTTCGTTCGAAAAGGATACCTCGACAATGGTAGTTCACCGGCCGTCAGGAGTGCAGCAGAGAAAACAACAAATAGATATGAATTTTGTTTTCTGTGCTGAACTGAAGAAAACCGGCGACTTACCCTTGTTTTTCAAATTCCACCAACTTGACTGTCATGGGCCGAGAACTGACTGCCATCTCACCGACCATAGGATTCAATGAGGAATGGCTTTCCATTCTGCACCGGAGACTGACGGCTTGAGTGAGGCTTGATAATAGAGATAATAGAGGTGCGAACGATCGACTCTAACAAATAAAACAACTCACCTGTTGAAGGCCGAGATCTGACTGCCTTCCCATTGTCCATAGAAATTGAATGAGGGATGGCTTTCGAATCTACACCTTCAATAGCACTCTTGATAATACGATAGGCTTACCTCGAATAAATCGATCGAACGATCGGCTTGAATAAAGAACTCCTCCACATCCAACACTCTTGTGGGTCAAGCTTGGATTTCTCTCCTGTTCACCATAGGAATTCAATGAGGGAGAGAAGTCAGTGCTGCGCCTTCAATAATGGCGGTGGCTGCAGACTAGAAATGGCCCCACCAGTACAATGGACCGACCAGTACAATCTGTGCAAGACACGTCTTTATCACTGCACAGCTCTGCTGTTTGCTTGAATAACACTTTTGAAACTTTGTACTGGTCGGGGCTCTTTTCTAGCAAAAAAGCTAGCTGAGTGCAACTTTGTACTGGTCGGGCCATTCCTAGCAGAGGTGATGGAAGGATTCGATTCCTCAAGTTTACCATGCAACCCTAACCTTAGTAACTTCAATGGTTCTTTTTATCCATGAATCGATCTATTTCTTTTGAAAGGGAACTTGTTACTTAACGATAAACATGACCGTTGATTCTGCAACTGAAGTGCGGGTACACTAATTTACACAGTAAACGCAAGCCAATCGATTTCAGAGTGCAACTGAGGGGGTAACCTAAAGGAGCGTCGTCTCAGGAGACGTAATTCGATTTCAATCATTCTGAGTCACGTAATTCGATTCGATGGATCATTCCCCCGCTTCCAACCGTCTTTCGGCTGTCCTTTCTCAGGCTGTCTCAACAACGAACGTTTTCATCTCACTTGTTCACAGCGATGTCCCTCGATCATGCAGCTCTCTCATGCGATCTAATTTGTCCCATCACTCTAGAGCTTCCCATCACGCCCGTAACTGCTGAGGACGGGTACGTCTACGAAAAGGAGGCAATCGAAATGCTGATCAAGACTCATCGTGACAAGCTCAAGTCGCCAATGACAAACGCAGCAATGGGACAACGCCTTTTCCCCGCGGTTCGACACAAGAACGTCATCGAAGCTCTCGTCGACGGCGGGGTAGTCAACGGTGAGTTAGCTGATAAATGGAAGCGCGAAGCGAAGGAGAAAAAAAGCAAGGACGACTTGCTTCGAAAGGCCTTCGGCGGCGATTCCGACGCTTTCTGCGCCGTGGCGCAAAACTACCGGGAGGGCAAGGCTGGTTTCGAGCAAGATGACAAGATGGCTTGTAAATGGTTCAAAAAGGCACATGCAGCCGGAAATGTGAAAGGAACGTCAAACTTTGGATATCATATTGTCAAGGGAAAGGGGACGAAGACTTCCCACGCCAAAGGCATGGCTCTCATTGGAGTGGCGGCTGGCAACGGCTGTGACTGGGCCGCTTACTTCATGGGAAGAGCTTTTGCTTCTGGTAGCTACGGTTTGGACTTTGACAGGGACGAAGCGATTCGATGGCTGTCGAAGTCATTGAGTGATTGTCGCGTCACACAGTTGGGAAAGAAAGGACGCGAGGAAGCAAAGAAGATGCTTGTGGAGCTCGTGAACAACGCAGAAGCCGATGCTACAACAAACACTTAAGAATGTTGACTTTCAAAGCAGCGATGACAAACAATTCGTTCCCCTGCACTCGCAAAAGCATTCGACTAACTTTGTTGGTGGATGCATGACAATACATTAATTCAGGGCGAAGGCGGCTACGTACATTATCACACAGATACCGTACCGTAGATTTTCCCAAAAACCGTCTAATCAAAACCAAAAGTTGACGCTAACGCTTGTAGTTAACGATCGTACGTAGTGCCATGCCCTGGCTGGAATGTGCAGAGCATCACCGGGGAACAACAAGACTTCCTCGAACTTGGCTTCCTTGGCGAGGGGATGAAGCTCAACGTTTTCGCGTTCACAATCAACATCACTCATGTTGCCTTGAAGCCCATACGATGATCGTTCACTGACATAGAGCTTGGAAGTCTCTTCCCTGGCGTAGATTCGAACGTATTTGACACCTACTACTTGGACAAAAATGTTGGAATAGCTGTCGAAGTGAAGTGGAGTCCTCGTTCCACCGGTTCCAACCCACAGGTAGACATGAGTTGGCCCCAAGCTGCCACAGAGCGAAGGCTTCAAATCAATATCGTCTCCGAGAACTGGCAATTGTTTGATCACCGGGTGTTGGGCCAGATACGCAATTTGGTTGTGTCTACTGATTGAGTCTTGTAGTGTCCAGCATTGAAGTGCGGAGCTCTTTGACAAGTAAGAAGACACGAACTCTCGAAGCGTCATCAGTTTCTCCTTCATACCGGATTCGCTTTTCATAGAGCCCAGCTCTATGGGCACAAGGCGATGTCCAAAGTATCTAGCAAAGAAAGTAAGGGATCTATTGGGTAACACAAAGCGTGAGAAAGAGAAGTTGACAAGGATTCGAATCTCAACAGAAGCAGATCGAACATTCGAGCTCTTTGGAATCAAAGCAACTTACCGCCACTTTTGGATTGCTGGCCAAGCAATCGCATACTGTCGCACAAGAACTGGCTTGGCCTTTGCTATGTACAGTGATTGAATGTTGTCGTCTGCAGCATCACTACATTCCGGGATGGGGAAGCCTATGGGTTGGCTCAGCCCTTGGTCATGGAGGAGACCCCTCAAGTCCGATGTTCCGTAGTCTGGGATCCATTCAACAAGCAGAGTTGGCAAACAGGGCCCCTGTGCAACGTGGGATGCGTGATATTCCACGTAGGAGAAGAATTCATCAATCGAAGAGCGGTCCAACCCCAGGATGGTCGCCTTATCCAAGTACCCAATAGCTGGCAAAAACAGCCCTTTGTGTGAGAACCCCACAGCCGCCGTAATTGCCGCACACCAGAAGGCCTCTCGATAAGTCATAGACGGCCACTTTGACTCCTTTTTCAGCATGGAGAACAATACTCGTTCCAAATCGGCCCCGACCGTCTCAGCAAGGACAAAGTCCCGTTCTCGCAAGGCTCCAACACACAGTTGCAGTAAACCAAAGACTGTTTCATCTGTTCCCTCTTTCTGTGCTGCTTTAGCAGTCTGAATCACAAAAGCTGAAGCTTGTGCCATGCATGCCAGGGGAATCGACCCTAGCGATGCCTGATTCAGCACTGCGTCGAGTTCGCTGACTTTTTGTGCCAATGCTTCCACTCCGTCTATCGATTTATTTTCCTGTTCTTCCGCCCCGTCATTTGCATAGTTGCCGTTGCCATCGTCTCCACTTTCATTATCAGAGTCCGAGTCATCGCTTCCAAACAAAAAGTCCTCGTCCTGGGCACCATCCGCTGACTGAATCTCCCCGTTGGAATTAGCCCTTTCCTTTTGACACTTGGTGCAGTTGCATATAAAACCATAGTGTTTGAGTTCTTCCTGACGTTTCTCCAGAGGAGAATCTGTGTCAATGTATGAGATGCAAAGTTCTTCATGCTCTTGTATATCCCGCAACGCCACGCAATGGGCTGCAAGAGGATACAAACGGCCCCAGCCCCCCGACTTGTACAAGACGACGACATTGGGATCACAAGAATGATTCATTTTGCAGCACAAGGCAAACATTGCCGTGCCGTCCAAGGGTGAAAAGAGAACGTCAAAATCGTCTTGGTCATTATCATTGTGATCATGTTCGTCACCGCAGTTTTCGTGTCCGTCATGAGGATCTTCAATGCCAGCTTTTTCACCCTGTGCTTTGACGCGCTGGTCTTCAAAGACGTCCAAGCCTGCAAGGAATCCAGCGAGATCGTCGTCCGAGTACAGTTCCTCGTCCTCATTGGCATTCTCCTCGTTTTCAGTTTGTCGTGGATTGTTGTTGTTGTTGTTGTTGTTGTCTTCCGTGTCATTGTTATTGTCCTGGTTGCCTTCCTCTGGTTCTTCTTCTTCTTGTGCATCCATCATTCCTGCTTGCTCGAGACATATAAGCAATTCCTGTTTTCTTGTCCTTCGGATATCCTGGTCAAAAATGTCTCTGCACAATGGATTTCGTCTTCGAATTCCAATGGAATTTAATTCACAGGCACCAATAATGTTGGCCATGTGCAAGGGACCAAAAATGTCGTTTAGGTTCTTGCTTGATTGTGGGTTGACATGTTGTTTGGAGAGTGTCTTCCAGTGTTCCTGCCAGAATTGGGAAGCATCTTGACATAGTTTTTTAAGAATATCCGGTGTGGTTGGTTCTTGCTTTTGTGGTACTTGTATTAAGTTTTGATTGTCGTTAGTAGAATCAATATCCCACCATGGTTCCATGTCAAAGTCCTCAAACGGATTCTTATTGTTGTTGTTGTCGTCATTGTTGTTGTTTAATAAGGAACGCAAAAAGACATCATTGGAGGGTATCCAACTAGCATAGCTGTTGTTGCTGTTGCTGTTGCTATTGTTGCGTTGCAATTGTTGTTGCTGTATAGTGTATTCTGCAACAATCCATTCTGCCACCAACAAGAATATTTCATTGGTTTGAATGGCATGTTGTTTGAACTGTATCAAAGGATGGTTTGTACCTTTAGAATCGTCTTGAATGGACCCTGTACATAGATATTTGTGTCTTGCCTCCCAGAAATCTTGTTCGCACGGGTTGGAGCAATATACTTGTCCACAGCCTTGTCGACATGGCACCACTGCTGATTCCTCAGAACAGTCCGTTGGATGATCTGGAAAGGTTCGATGAGCGAGAATCTGCAATGCTGCCTTTGGCCCTCCCACAAACGCCTTGCAAGCATGACAAACCCAAACTGGATTTCCCAAACTTTGTAGTGCGACCAAGGGTCGTTCCACAAAAATCAAAGTCCCCTTGGGAATGGCTCGACTGGCCACCAAATGTCTCCCTCGAACGTCCGTATCGCAGCGGCGAAATAACGGAACAAACCTTTTCGTATCAGACATGGTGTTGCTAGCTAGCTAGCAAACATACATTTAGTGTACATTAAATGTTGTGTGGGTAGTATCTGTGTTGCTTGCGAATAGTCGTACTGGTAGCTGTTGGCCTTGCTGTGGAAGGAAATCGGAACAAAGGCAACAAGGGAGGAAAGCAACGGCCAAAAGAATCTTTTGGATCTTTTCTCCTTCGAACGGGTTCTGAGCCAACCTCTGTGAAAAACGTCAGACACTGACATCACCCGCCCATCACCAGAATGGCTGTCTTTTGAAAGAACAAAATGCCAGGAGCCAACCGAGGGTGGTGTGTGTGGCAAGGAGTGATGAGCAACACCATCACTCAAGCAGATCAAGCCGACTACGAGAATTCAGCCTTACCTTACCGGTACCGTTGACCGAAGAGAGAGAGAGAGAGAGAGAGAGAGACCCACGTTGCTCTTGTCATACGTACGCTACCAAATACTTGTCTCAGCCACAGAAGTTTCTGTTTTCTTGGTCTCATTTATCTAGTTAGGTATTTTGCAATTCCAATCAATTCTGTTATAAAGGAAGAAGACTAGATCTATTATGAAGTTCCCTACTCGAGCTGTCAGCCTGTTGTGGCTGGTCTCTACTAGTACGACAAGCACCGCCTTTGTGCCTCACGCAACATCACGTTTTGGAGTCTCGACGCGTCTGTTTCAATCCTCTTCTGCTGGTACCGAGTCCTCCATCAAACACTTGCCTGAAAGTGCCGTCGAATTGACCGTCACGGCTCCTGGAAAGGCCACCAAGGCCGCCTACGACAAGGCGTGCTCCGAAATCAGCCAGAATATCGAAATTCCAGGATTCCGCAAGGGATCCAAAATCCCCGCACAAATCCTCGAACAAGCCATTCGACAAAACTCTGCCGATGGTCAGCAAGGAGGCAAACATCCACTCAAAGCACAAGCCATTACGGCTCTCATCAATCAATTGGTAGAACCAACGCTCAAGGAACATCAGCTAGACCCCATTGGACAACCCTCCATGGTGGTACCTGTAGAAGAAATGGTAGAATCCTTTCAACCGGGAGAAGATTTGACCATTCAAGTAAAATGCGATGTATGGCCCGAAATTGTATGGAAAGAGTCCGACACACCCGATAAGGCAGTCTACAAGGGACTCAAGGGATCCTATTCACGAAAACCATTCGATCAGGCCAAAATGGACAAGGCACTCGACGATCTCAAGGAGCGATACGCATCGCTCGAAAAAATTACAGACGATTCCCATACACTGCAAATGGGAGATGCCTGTACCGTCAACATGGAGGGATTCATGGCAAATCCAGATGGAACCAAGGGAGAGCCATTGCCAAATGCTGCCAGTGGTGATCGAGTAGAAGTTGTTCTGGGAGAAGGACGATACATGGAAGGATTGGTCGAAGGATTGATTGGAGCCAAGGTCGATGACACCGTACAGGTGTCGGTCGCATTTCCAGATGTAAGTAGTGCCAACATGGCTGGTGCTGCTGATGCTGCCTTGGAGTAGGTTTAGATGAACAACGTGATCTCACCGTTCTCTTCTATTGATAATCTTCTTGTTTCATCATTCATCATCATGACAGAAACTGCGAGACAAAACTCTGGCGGGCAAGCAGGCCATTTTTGATGTCACCGTCTTGGAAGCCTCCAAACGAACTGTACCCGAATTGACGGACGAATTCGCTGCCAAGGTAAAGGCTGGTCTCACGGCCGAATCGCTCCAGGCAGAACTACGAAAAGCCGTCGATGAAGAAGATGCCAAGGAATTCAGGGGGGCACGAAATGCGGCCTTGTCCAAGGCACTAGCCGAAACGGTTGAAGTGGACATTCCGGATACACTCGTCACTAACCAGGCGCGAGAAAAGTTTGCCCTCATGATGACCGAAATGAGAGACAATGGAGTCTCGGACGAAGAAATCAAAAACCAAATCAAACCAGAAAACTTTTTAAAGTACAAGGACATTGTCAAGGGTGATATCATTCGGGACTTTCGAGTTTCCATGGCCACCGACGAAATTGCCCGCATTGAAGGAATTGAAGTGCCAGATTATCAAGTGGAGGAACAATTGGAAGCCATTCGAAAGGATGCCGCACAAGAGGGAGAGGAAATAGATGACAATTCGATTCGGGGCAAGGTAGAAGCCACGCTGCAGCGTCAAGCCGTTATGGACTTTTTGGCGGATAATGCCGATTTGGATGTCCAATACAAGGAAGAAGAGTTCGACGCCCAACTCATGGAAAAGCTGGCAGAGGAATCGTTGGCAAGATTGGAAAAGGAGAAGGAGTCATCGGCAGTGGATGCGGAGATTGTCGAATAAACAACAACAACAAAAAGAGAACACAACAACATCACAAAGATCAAACGAAAACAGTAGTAGCAACTAGTACTTGCGTGTGTTTGTATCAACTGACAGTTTACGCTATGGCGTGTTAGCTCGAACGATACTCTTATCAAAATAATCGCAACAGGAACACGAGGGCCCACCCTCGAACCCCCTCGACCGCCGTCTGCGTTTGTCCGCTAATTTAACTCCGTGCTCAGCTGACCGACCGCTCACCGTCGAGTTCTTCGAGGTAGATCTGGGCTGCCTGGCCTGGTTTCTTCTCGATCTTGACCACTTTCAACACGGTCCCAGGGGCCAGCACATACTCTTCCTCGTTCGGATACGCGCTCATGTGCTGGATGGGGACGGCAGAAACGGCCTTGACGTGGAAAAGTGTGCCACCGGGCGAACCTCCACCAAACCCCTTGGCGACGTTGATGTTGGGGGTGCAGGAGCTCACCGGCCACCAGGTGACCTTGCTCCCCTCCTTGTATTGGCCCGACAAATCTCTACTGATGCCTCGGTATAGGGATCGAGGCTTGGGTTTCATCTTGCTGTAAGCCTCCAAGAAGACGCGAAGGTACTCAAAGTACACCTTAACCTTCCCGCGGTTTGAGTTCCTCAACGCTTCGTTGAGGCGACGATAGAGACAGTTGGTGGTGTAAAGATAGACGGCTCCCTTCTCGTCCTCTCCAAGGCCAGCAACGGCAAATTTTGCAGCTCTTTTCACGGCCGAATCTGCCGCGGATCGCAGCCCCATGTTGTCGCAAGCATCGGGAAGCGAACACAGTTCTGATGCCATGATCCCCAAAATGGGCGCCAGCTCCGTCAAATCGAGGCCGGCCTGAAGCCGTTCCAGATACATCTTGTGAAGCTCCTGGGTTTCAGTGATAAAATCGGCGTGCTCGTCGCAGTGGTGCTTTTTGAGCCAATCCTTGTCTGGGAGCCAATCAATCGGCTCGAGGCCGTTCTTTGTAAGCGCTTTGTTGACGGCCAGAAAATGATTGTCCCCTTTCGCAAATTTGTCGCCCTGGGCTGCCGGGTTGTAGTGTTCGATATGAGTGATCTCCACATCATCTTCAAACTCCTCGAACACAGACTTGAGAGCCTTCTTCGTCTTCAGGCTCTCGTTGCCCCACCAAAGGAAACCGATGCGCCGCTTTGGAGTTCCCGCGGGGAACTTGTCGCGTTTGGATTGTAGGATCTTGCTGACGATCTTTTTCATTACTGGTTTCCAAAAGTTTGTGTGCTGCGCCTTGGAATGCGTAGACCCCATCGTAAGACTAGCGTTGAGCAAGAGGACTCCTTGAGACAGCATTGCCTGAAACCATTCCGGAGGGGACACAATATTGTGCTTTTTGAAAGCTTTCCTCATGTCGGAGATCTTGGAATTGTCGGAGACAATACCTTTCGCTGTTGCTGCGACCTTGGCAATGCAGCGCATAGAGACGGTTTTACCAAATTGTGCGCAATCCCAATCTTGGATCAGTGAGTCAAACATAGCGATCCCCGAAGCACTCTCGACGCGAGGATAAGGAGCCTCACCAAAGACGATAAGCGTATTCTCCTCTGGCGGCGTCGCCATCAGAGCACGAAACGTCATCTCGCGGACCGGGAGAATGTCCTTGCTCCTCTTGGGACCGATAAAGTCGGCGGCCTGTGGAAGCGATTCAAGCACTTCCGTCAGCATCCCTTCCCATGCGTATCCATGCTGACCTGCGAACAGCGGTTCTAGTTTGAGACCGCTTCCACCGTCGGTTGTTGTGTTGGATTCGGTCTTGATCTTTTTCTTGCTGCTTTCGTTGGACGGGGACCACGTCGCGTCATGCTTCTTGTTCTCAGTGGGGATTGTCGGCAGCGGTGTGCCTGGGTTCTTTGGAGGTAAATAGACTGGCGGCGCTGTCATGGAAAAGACTTCGCCTGGAAGCACTCGCCTAATCGGCCGCACGGTGCCTGATTTCATATTCCGCTGAGTGCCCTTGGCGATGTTGATTTCATAGCCAAAGTGGCCGGATTTCAAATGCCACGAGGTGCGAGAGAGCTGCTGCCCCTTGTTGTTGAGGAAGCCTTCCAGTTTCTCAGAGGCTTTTTTGTCGTAAAGATGCCAACCCACCTGCTTTCCGTCCATTGCCTCATCGAGCCAATAGTGCCACACAGCGCCGCTGCCGGCTTCATCCATGGGCTCGTCGTCGTCGTCATCGTCCTCGTCGCTGTCCTCAACGATCGCCTTCTTCTTCTTCTTTTGAATTTTTTGCTTGACGTTTTTAGCAATAGATTCGTCATCACTGTCATCTTCTTCCTTGCTCGTTTCCTTTTTCTTGCTCGTTTCCTCTTTCTTGCTCTTATCTTCTTTTTTGCTCGTCTTGGCCTTCTTGGCCTTGGGCTTTTGGGGATCTTCTTCGTCTTCTTCCTTGGTGGTGGTGTTGATTGTTGTTGCCGTGGCCTCATAGCCTTTCATGGTGAACACTCCACCGGTTTTGGATGCTTTGATTTTGGTTTTCTCCTTCTTGGTCTCGTAGGGAGCCGAGAGAAACCTGTATGGAATGAGATGGAACTTCTTACGCCCCTCCAGCTGATCCTTTTTCTTTTCGGGTGCGCTCAATCCAACCCTACTGGAAGCTTTCCATTCCATGGCTGATTTCTGCTTCTTGTCCAGTGGACGTGGTTCATGCTCCTCCAACCGCATGATCCCATCCTTGGTCAAGGCCGAGAGTTGAAAGTTGGGTTTATCCACCAAATCCTTGATTTTAGAAACACCACATGCTTTCAAGAGTTCCCTGGTGCAATTGCAGGATCCATCAAAGAATTCACCACCAGCTTTTCCGTCCTCGTGGGAACGAGAAAGGCCTCGTATCAAGATACCACCGGCAGTGCCCACGGGAGCAAAGCTAATATCCAAACCCATAAAGGTACCTCCCTTCCAGCCGCCACCAGGCTTGGTACGGTGAAAGTACCATCCACCACAGGTCGAAACTTGTTCGTCGCCTTGGTGAGTGTAAGGATCATCGCTGGAATAAATCTCCAACTCGCGAATGCGGTAGCGATTCTCTCCGGCCACAATGGTGGTACAAAAGAGCAAGCGCATCGCCGCTTCGGTGTAGGGCGGGGCTGCCTTCTCGAACACAGCGCTCAAAGGAGGAGGGGCTTCGTTCGACATGGTGATTCTCTTATCTTGCTTGAAACTGTTTGCTTTCCAGGCTGCTTCTCTTATCTTTTTGTGTTTTCCCATGCATGCAACGACGCGGCGAGAAAAAGAAGGAGGAGGAAGATCGGTCCAGTCGGGTGCAGCCCAAGTTCATGATGGTGGGAAAGGGCGTGAGGCTCCATGGAGTTCTTTCAGGACTGGCCCAGTCACTGGTCGCCAAGCATCATTCGTCACAACGCCGAAGTACCTTGTACAGGCAGCTTCACTTCTAATGATTCAAACGCGAGCCGACCTTCTTCGTACATTTCTACACTAGCACTCGTAGAAGTGTACCAGAAAAGCCGGCACGCGTTTGAATCAGAAAAATCGAAGCTGCTCGTAGCACCGTAGTAGCTGTCTACTTGGAGCTGTCTATTTCCCCACAAAGACAAGCACTACCACACTCATTTGTGCACTCATTCATCATGACAACACTGCAGTCAGACTTCCTCCACGACAAAGCACAAATGAACCCATCCTGTGGCCTGTTGGTATAGATAGCGTCGATGCCATCTGGGCCGGACATAGTGGTTCGAACTGTGCAATAAAAGCGGTGGAAAAGAGACTTTGGTGTATGTGGACAAGGATGGCACATTTGGAACCAAATCCATGAGCCAACGAAAGTGGTCATGTGGTGGCTGAAGCGAAGTGCTGTATGAAGCATTGATACAAGATAGAGTTTGACTGCTACAATTATTGATGACCAACAGCGTTCACGTGCTGATCAACCAACAACAGTGACAGCTATCTCTGAAGGAAGCCTAATACTGCCATTGCCTACCGATTGCTACTACTACTACCCAAGCCGATGCAGGAAATTGGGTCTGCTCCCGTTGCCGGTGCCTACTCCAGAGGCAGAATCCAAGTGCGCAAATGAACTAGAATATGCATTATCATTGGCAGGAACTTGTCTCTTCGCCACCATGGCAACCACGCCACAAGAAGCTAACTGCCCTTCTGAAGGGGCTCTATAGAAGAAGGAGAGTGTTAGCTCCAGTGTTATCAGCAGCGTGGACAAACATCCTCGAGTCCTTTGAAAGGCAACAACCAAAGGAGACTACAGACGTGAAAGCTCGCACATATATGGGAATTTGGATGCTCCTATTGGATTCATCCCTCCTTTGAATTTCCTAGTGTTTCGGTGCTGATTTCTGTGTCGGTAGGAGAACATTTTGGCTAGCTAGTGGATACAATCACTACAGGAGCATCACCACTGCACCACCACTACCATACCGGTAGGAGTGAAGTGTTGGATCCTTATTCTTAGGCCTGACTAGTACGCCATTCATGTGCTACAGTTTGGTCGGAGTTCAAAGCATTGGCAATAGTTTTGCTGATTTATCAATACGGTAGCATTGCTATAGAGCTGCTCCACATCGGAAAATGGATACCCAAACAGGCAATATTAAGTAGGAAAACGTCCAATAGGAGAGTCACTCTTCGTGCGTCGTGCAGCCCGAACACTTGCATGGCTAGGAGCTTCCCACGAAACTGGTTGTTGCATTTGATGACTCGACAATACGAACTGCACAGGCTGGTGTTTGGAGTTCAGTTTGGGTGCATTTCTCCTTAGACCTTGGCCACGGTGGCAAAGATCGATTGCTTTTGAAGGTCACCATGGCATCAATGGTCGTCGCCCCATCTCGTAGGTTCTTGTCGCCCATGTAGCCATTGTGGCATCACAGTTGATACCATTGGTGATTCTTCCAAATGGCTGTAATCAGAGCACTCCCTTCATTCCCCACCCACAAAGGCCCAATCCGTAAACAGTCACCGAAGTCTCTTTTCCAACCACCTTAATTGCGCACATTGAACCGTTGATGTCCTGGTTGGCATCGACGCTATCCATACCAACCTGGCAACAACTTGGTTCATTTGTGTTTTTTCGCGGAGGAAAGTCTGAGGACTGCAGTTTTGCTTATTGCGTCTCTGATTAAAGGGATTTCTTGGGAGAGAATGAAATGAGGCGTAGACAGCGTGTAATGGCCAAAGACAATTACAGTGCTGGCCTCTATTAATATATATAGTCTAGGCACCTCGAGTGTGGAGCGCAGCCAATAAGATCCGATCCTTTTGCTGTGTGATCAGTGACGTCCTCCAGTCCTGAGAAAGCACTCCATGGAGCCTCACGCTGTTTCCCATCATTGATTGCAAGATAGAAGCCACTGAATGGTGCTTAAAATAGGAGCTGTGGCAAGGATCAGGTTGATTGTTGCCAGTAAATGGTCGTGTTTCCTTGACGGTCAGTTTGAGTGAGGCTTGGATCACAGAGGTGCGATCGATCGAGTCAGAGTCGAAATAATTAAAACAACTCACATGTTGCCGGCCGAGATTTGACTGCCCTCCCGCAGTTCATAGAAATTCAATGAGGGATGGCTTTCGAATCTGTATCTTCAATTAACCCTCTTGATAATAGGCTTACCTCATAGCGATCTCGATCGATTCAACACCACCAAGAGAAGTACTCTCGTCGGCCAAGCTTGGATTTCTTTCCTGTTTACCATAGGAATTCAATGAGGGAGAGAAGCCAGCGCTGCGCTAAATATAGTAATATAGACTTGATATATCGTTTAGTCCTGGCTGACTCGTGAATCGACTGCCAGGCAGTCGATCTGGCATGCGCACCGCCAGTGCTTGGCAATAGACAACTAACGCTCCTAATGTATCATTACATACTTGTACAACAACATTAGACCATGCTCGTGTCCGAGTATTACGTCTATCTTCATATATGGATGTTTGTATGGCGCCTTTTGCTGGCGCGAGGGTTGACTGACTGCCGTGCAGTCGATCCGGTCCCGTGGCATCCGGTACTGATTCTACGGAACATTTCTTTTCGACAGAAAAGAAACTTCGAAAAAAGAAAGGCGACAATGACGCCCACGATGCGCTGTTTTTGGCTCATTGTGAGCCACCATGGCGTCAAGGAGTGGTGGGAATACGTCTAGGGTGCCCGATGAGGTAGCGACCAGGCAGTCAGCTCGATCTAATGCTTCAACATTGACGAATTCAAGCCAAAGGGCACGTCGTTCAAGGTCTCGTCATGATCCACGGTCAATGGTTGAAACCCTTGAAAACAATTCCACAACGACTCCACTGGCAAGGCACAGAGGCAACGGGACACCAGCTCGCTCACCAAGGACGCCGAACACTAGTTCTACATCTGAATCCGGTGATGATCTTTCCCCTTTGGAGTTTGAAGCAGCCTATGACGCAAGGTGTCATGAGGAGAACGCTGGAGCATCTGATTCCGAGGACGAAGGAGATGAAAACATTGTTATTACTGTTACGGACTCAGCGACTGACAATATGATAGACCGACTGACAGCCCTTGAAGACAATCAAGCGGCAATTCCTGATGATGCACTGCTTCAATCAATTGATCCATCCTCGCAGAATGTGGAAATCATTGGAGCGCCAGTGGGATGGAAGATTCCCAGCGCACCTGAAGATTGGACACCGCCAGCAAGGCATAGCGCAAAGGGAGAGCCTGAATTCAAGGATGTTGATAATCCAGGTGGTTGGAGCAATTTCACCTACCGCCCCAAGTTTGAAAGCAAAGGTACCAAGAAGTATCTCTACCACTGTCTTCCAACTGGAGCCACTCCTGTGCCACCCAATGCACAGGGAAAACGCATTATCAATGGATGGGAGTTCCATTATGAGGGCTGGTCGAAAGACTTATCGTTGCCACCTTTCAGGAATGGAGCTTCTCGCGGCAATATGTTTCCAGATTCAAGACGTGGTACTTTGAGCAATGAAGTTCTGCTTCAACTAGGAATGAATGAAGACAGGATGCTTCAAGATGACAAGACACCCGACGCTTTGTTCTTCTTCCAACTGCTGCTTCCTATTTGCGACACAAAGCGAAATCAGAATGATCCAAGAATGCCTTACTATTTGGATGTTTCTAGCAACAGCAACTCTTATGCTGTGGCTGAGCTTGGATTGGGATGCGGATATGGCCACCGATTCCATGCAGTAACCATTCCGGAGCTTGTACGATGGGATGGATCTTTGGTGCAAGATGGTGTACGTGGTGGGAGCAACGGGGCTATTATCCGTCGCTTTGACACAAGAGAAGGCAATCAATCATTTGATGGCTTGATGTTTGCCGCTTTCACGAAGTCACGATGGCTGGAAATCAAGAGAATTTACAAGCTGTGCAATAACCTTCGACAACCAAAGAAGGGTCAACAAGGCTATGATCCAGCATACAAGTTCGACTTTATTTTTAAGGTCATTACACACAATGTCAACGCCATCACCGGTTCCTGTGGATTGGACATGTCTGGAGATGAAACAAGCTGGGGACATCAAGGCTTTGGCGAACCGGCTTCTGGTGTTGTGTCACAGATCCTTGGAAAACCTGGAATCTCTCGCGGTGGTCAAACTGTCATTGTCACAGATGTTGACCGAATTCGGCCTAGGGCATATGTACATCGGCACAAGCTCCATGATCAAGCTTTCTCACAGAAAGGTCCCAGCGAAGTGAAAATGATACTGGACAAGCTGGACGTCTTGATGAAAGAACAAGTCTGGAATGGAGTTCCAAGGCCTGCAATACTGACGTCCAAACCACACATCACTTGGGACAATTTCTTTAGTGGGGAAGAGATCTTCCAATACGCGGCAGAGAATGGGTATGGATTGACAATGACATGCCGGAGAGATCGACTGCCGAGAGGAGTTCCTGGGAAATTCTTTCACAAGGAAAAGACCAACTCAACAGCTCGACCGAAAGCAGCACGATTTGAACAGCCAATTTTTGCTGTCAAAGAGCATCATGGTGCTCTCATCCAGCACACTTCATTCCAATCAACCTCATCTTGCAATTTCACCAGTGTCAACGCCATTAACAGCTGCGAATTGTATGCCACAACCAAGGAGCGTGGAAGAGGAAAATTCAAGAGGAAATGGGGTATCGAAATGAACCAAGCGAGAGACTTGTATCTGCGGACGTATGGAGGCATTGACAGGCTTGATCATCTCATCCAGAACTGCGCCATCTCTTACAGGTACGCCGACATCACTTTCTTTCCCTTCTGTTAATTGTCGTCTACCCACATCAATTTCTCTTCTGTTACAGGTCTTGGAAATACTGGCATTCTCCGATGACACATGCCAAGGCAATGGCTGTTGTTGTTGCCTTCGATATCTATCAGGAGCTCTGTGAAGGGAAGCTTGACCACCGGTGGCGTCAAGAGAAGCCCGTGGACTTCTATCGCTTTCGCGAAAAGCTCGCCAAGCAGATGTTGACCTATTCACCGACCAATCACCATTATTTAGGAGACGACAAGTTCCGAGATTGCACAATGGTGCCAAAGGCAAAGCGTCCTCGCTCTGAATCCCGAAGCAGAACCCCTCCACGTTACCGTCATGATGATGGGGATATCACAACCACCTCCGGTATTGGTGTCAACACACTTGCTGATGATTCAGCAACTCGACTTTGTGGATTCATTACACCATTGATGGAACACTATGAGGCGACCCAAAAGATGGCAAATGGCAAGAAGAAACTCTCGTGTCACTTCTGTGGGAAGCTCACATATCAGTACTGCAAACTCTGTGACAAGGCTCTCCACAAATATGCACAAGATGGCGAGCAGTTTTCTTGCTTCTTCCACTGGCACAATACCGGAGCTTTTGGATTAGCAAGAGCTGATTGGCGCATCACTGGCAAGAGGCAAAAGGATTGGAAAATGCCTACCAAGATGGACTTCGAAGATAATGAAAAACAAATGAGGCGAGTCCATGAGCAGTTCAGGGCTCTTGGCAGCAACAACAAGCATGGCGACAATGAAATCAGCCAGAATGGCAACAACAGCAACAACCAAAATGATGACAACGATGATGAAGACGTTGGTGTCAACTGGAACAACGTAGTTTGACTGTGCGACAGTATTGCTGGAGTGACTGCTTGGCAGCAACTTTCTTTTTCTAGCAGTCGATTTGAGTTACCAGTTACTTGCCTACATAAATCCTAGTAATGTTTTGCACGTGGACCGAACATAGCTTCCAAGAAGTGCCGACTGCTGAGCAGTTGGTAATTGCAGCCAAGTCAAAACGATAATAGACTTACCTCGTAACTGTAGTAGTAGTATTCGTAGTGATCATCATCCACCATTGTCAAGTTGCCTGTTGGTTGTGTGTTGGTTGCCTATTGCATGGTGGTCCAGCACAGAAGTGGAAGGAGGAATGGCCAAGTTGTCGCTGTGACACAAAGACGTCCCCAGAGCTGATTTTGGTGCACTTTTCTTTTTGTAGCTTTTTCGCAGCGGCATGTGGTGCAATCTGTCTATGGTAGGGAAGCCATGGTAACAATTCACAGTGCATGAGTTAACGTGCCCATGACAGCCTGCTCAAAAGCCACCGGATGAACTCTGCAAAAAAGGCTTCTTGTACTGATTTGGTATAGGGAAGCCTTGCCAAAAAATGTTTCATCCAGCCCCCTTCAAAACCCCCAAAATTAAGTCATGAGGAAACCTCACGGACTTGCTGCCGACGTTTCCACGACTGAAAGATTCAATTCAGGAATTAAAAGCCAACAGCACTGTAATTTGCTTTGAACATCATTGTTCACAATCTGTCCCTTCTGTGAGGGCGCTTCGTTGATGCAACGATAGTTGCATGTAGACTACACTACTGCTGTGGATTCGGATCTAGCTACCGGTAGCTACCTAGCCAGCTAGAGACGACGGAGAGTCAAGAAGCATAAAGAGACCGCAATGAGAAACATCCAGGTTTGCCTGAGCGGAAATGTGGTGACCAGGCGTTATACGATAGCTGGCGTTTGTCAGGTTTGCTTGGTGTTTCAAAATCTGCCTGTAGGTACCAGGATACCGTATGCATACATGTATGTGGATACCTGGTACCTGTACCGGTACTACGGTAGCGTTTGCTCCTGCAATTATTGTTGGCATCTTTGGATCCTATCAGTGCGACATCTGTATCGGTAGTAGCCGTGGTGTTGAGTTCTTGTTAGAAATTGCTATGGCTTTAATAAGGTACGGGGTCGTAGTACATGTACATACTACGAGGAATACTAGTAAGTAAGATACATGTAATGCAGCTAGCTGGCCATGAATTCTCGTTCCACAACCACTACTACATGTAGCTAAACAGTTACTCCCTCGGGAGGTGCAAGTCCTACCATCCAGAGCAAATCCAAAGATTCTCCAATCAAGCACGCGAGGTCGACGTGGGATCAGTTGTTACTTCCTCCTCGGGATGTCGCGACGAGCGGAAGAATCCATTCTTCAACTTGAGGATTAGGCTCCTCTTTGGCCCGAACCGTTGCTTCAATGTTCGTCGCTCCTTCTTGGTCTGTGGGTATGTATTCCTCCTCAACGGTTCGGGATCATCTTGCTCTCCCATGGCAGTGGAGGTTGTCATGGGCATGGACTTGTGGTTACTCTTGGAGAGCACACTACGCCTGGAATCGGGAAGCGAGAAGAAGTCATTCTTGAGCTTGACGAGGCTAGATGGCGAAAAGTGGCGCATTGTGCTTCGCCTCCTGCTCGTTTTCGGATCTTCCACCGGATCACCAGGAGCTCCGTCAGAGAATGGTAGCGGATCCTGTTTATCTCCCTTGGTAACTGAAGACCGGAAGCTTTTGGATAAACTGCGTCTGGAATCTGCGAGGGAGAAGAAGTCTTTCTTTAGCTTTTTCAGGCTGGAGGGACCAAAATGCCGCAAGGTCGATCGCCGCCTGCCCTTTCTCTTGTGTCCTTCTTCGGCATCACCGGCCATGGCTACTTCGCCTGGTGGTTGGGGCGCAACAAGATGCGACTCATTGGGAGTATGAGCCGTCATGGTGTTCCTTTTTGGTAGATATTCTAGAAAGTATTGATGATACCTGGTACCTACCCTCTTTCTGGCGATGGGTGATGGGGTGTTGTGTGTTGGAAGAGCGTGAAAAAGCTGCGACGTGCCACCGGCTCACACCACCACCACTTGCTCCTCCCACGCGACTGTAAAACCCGAACCTGGATCCTTGAATGCTGCGTTGTACTGCCTCCCGCTTACGGTACCGGTACCGGTAGTCCGTTGGCGACCAATGCCGAATGAAGATTTAACAAATGTTTCAGTTGGATTCACAGCGTTGATTTAACACCTTCCGCGCCTCCTCCGTTCACGCGACACGGATTCATTGAATGCAGTTTTGTGTTAAGCCTTCGCTTGATGTACTGGTATGGTACCGGTACCATTGACAGTGGTCCGTTAAAAGTTCCGTTGCCTCCCGAAAATTTCCTTTGGCCTGTACGGAAATCTAATTTTACCCTGCAAAGCTGCCAATCACAGTGAAACCAAGTGCACCCACGCACCCACCAAGCTAGCAAGCATTTCGTTCAAAAAACCAAGCAGAGGTCCATCCATGATCCTAGTTTGCCTTGGAGCTTCCAAGTCATTTCGAACTAAAAACACTGTATGCCGCAACAACTTTACATTTGCGATACAATACAACACAACAACTGACTAGCTACTCTTTGGGCACTTGCCACCTCGACGAGGAAATAGCCCCTTTGACTCGTGGCATTTCTTGTTGAGTGCTGCTCGATTTGCCAGCACTCCATCCCGAAGAGCACACGAGTCCGGAAATGTCTCCTCGTAAAGGGCAACAAGTGGAAGCACTTCATCCTTGAACAGATTGTGTCGATCTTCGTGCCAAGTAGGCGAAGGGTCAACTCCTCGTTTCTTGATGTTTGCAACTCTGCGTTCAGCAAACAAGGCTTCCATCCAGTCATTGAATTGCTCGAATTCCAGGGCAAAGTAGCCATAATCAGCAAGCTTCAGGACCAGGGACAACGTTGACTCTGTCCTTTCGGCTAAATCTCGTTCAGTTTCAACCGGGAACTTTATGGCCAGCTCAAATTCTTGCTTTGGATTTGTAACCAAGGCAGCCTTCCGAAGGATAGAAAAGAAACTGGGATAGCCCCATCGGAGTTCCTTGTGTAAATCCGGGAAGTCTTCTTCTAGAATATCCAATCCATGGGTCAACGAATACTTGGCTTGGCATTTCTTGCCGCCGTACATCTCATGAACCGCGCTCTTCTCAGTTTGCAGTTGTTGATCCGTCACACCATCATGTTTGCAGTCGCGTAGCAAAGCTGCCAATGTCAAGGCCAGCCGATACCACGGCCCAGGGTCCACCTTGCCGGAGACCCCAGCGTCTCCATCCTGGATTTCCGAAAAAAGACGATTGCTCCATGCAACCACATGAGCAGCACGGCGAAAGCAGTGGTATGGATTGCTCGGACGGCGAAATGACTTGGATATTAGATCAATGAAACCAAAGAGTTGTTCGGCCAGGACGGCCTCTTGCATGGAAGGCTTGCTGTTGGAGTTGTCAAGCATGCAAAGTTGTAGAATGGGGAGAAGCGTCTCGTAGACCTTTGCCACCAACTCTGCTCTCTCAATATGATGCTTATACCAGAGGTCTGTCAAGGTCGCCCTGCACTTTTCGGACTCGAGGGGAGGAGTATCTTCGAGGCTGTCACCAATATCGGCCTGGAGATTGGTGCTGCCTTCCTTCTTTTCCTCCTCCTCTTCTGTCAAAGGAGATGTGGACAGCCCGTTCACTGTGGACGCAGTATCTGATACACTTCTTCCAAAATACTTCCTCTTCCTCCAAGTCTCCTGTTCCAGCATTTTGCCCACTTCCCTAAAAAGGGCTTGCAGAGCGACGGGGTTCGCAAATTCGTTGTGGTCGGTCGCCTCTTCAAGCCAGTACGTAAAACGCTCGCCTTTGCCCTTCATCTGCACCAAACCCCTTGGAGACAAATGGAATTGCTGATTGTCATGGGGAGAGTCGTGTACCAGACGTCCAAAGAGCTCGCTGCTGCATTGGATCTTTCCAGGAAGCCCCGTCGACTCGTGGCGGGATGTGGTGTTGATCATGTCTATGTATAGAGGAGTTGAATATCAGATTGCATGGTGCATATCAATGAATCAACAATAACAACGCGACCATGCGGTCTACCGGTACCGAACCCGCGAAGTGTAGGTTGTGCGTCTTACCTCCAAACAGAGCGTAGTGCGGACTGCGTGTGCCCACCACTCCGGCTGTACAATTACCCGTGTGAATTCCGATTCGTAGATTGATGGGTGTGGTGCAATCGACTGGTGATTTGATATGCTGGACGCACTCCATTACGGCCACTGCAAAGTTTGCAATGTTTTCGGCGTGATTTTCGTCTGGGAAGGGGAGGCCCGAGCAGCACACTAAGAAAGCGGCAGATTGGACAAAGCCAGGTGAGAATGCTATCCAACCAGTACCAAAAATATTCTTTCTTCAGTGGGCAGATGAAAGGTTCCCCGGTTCCAAAACTTACTGTAGGCGTCGCCCTGAAAGGATCATCGAGTGCAAACAGCAAGAAACCAGAAATGAGCAGACTGAACCAGTGCAAACAGACACTGCAAACGATTTTTTCAAACGTCTTTTTCCAAACACGTACGATAGTTTCAACTTTATAGAGTTTGAACTTCTCGGCCAGATAGTCCATGCAGCTGTAGAGCTGATTCAACAAATCAATGACGCTCCACGGGTCCACCTGGTCACAAATCCTTGGAAGGATGAAATTGAAAACCATCTCAGATTGTGAGAAGAAAAATATGCCCCAACTTTCGCCACTACCCGATCAACTGTCAATGATTGCTTCATACTCACGAAGTGAACCCTGTAATGCCCCGAAACAGGAATCAAACCAGACATATCCGAAGAAGTGAGTCCCCTGCATCAGCAGCGTAACTATTCAACAAAAAAAAACGACAACATCTAACTCACCAACGATATCGCTAAAGAAGAGTGTAACGTGCTCAAATTCCTTGGGTTCTACAGTGTGTCCCTTGCGCAGATCATCTGCGACGCTGACGGGAAGCATATTGTAGAGGAGCGTCTGGGAGAGTTCCTGTTCGATTTCGAGCTTTCGACTTAGCTTGTCCAACGATTGCGCTCTATCTGCTTCGTGGGTAATGTATTCCGAAAGGAAGACAGAGTCACGCTGAAAGCCATGCAAAGGTAGATCGTTCATGAAAAGGCCAAAGCTTTGCATTTCCTGTACATTTCGAATGTATGGGTTTAATGCAAACATGACGGCGGTACCTCCGACTGGGAACATGGACCCCTTGAACTCCAATGGTTGTTGGCTGGTCGCCGAGATTGCCGTCAGGAAGAAATTCTGGTCGGAAAACTTTTTCAATGCCTTCCAGTCCCAGATAGGTAGTTGAGGTCTGGTGATCTTGACATACATTTCAATGTGCTGACCCAACATCTCAAAAGGAGTGTCAAAGTCGTTCACAAGTTGCTGCTTTTTCATGAGGGATGGTAAACTATCTCCAACACTTAGAATGGTGAATTCTTTATCCACAAGCAAGTGAAAGGGGAAGATACTTTGCATTTGTTCCAGTGTCATTTGCAGACTGTCCTTATCAGCTTTCGTTGGGGCACTAATGCTCTCATCCCCGTTGTTGTTGTCGTTGTCATTTTCAGAGCCATCCAATGCAGGATTTTCATAGAGGTCTTTTCTGTGGGATGATTGCAAGCCACATTGCCGGCGCAAGGTCTTTTGCAACAGCGCAAACGGACACTGGATCTTTTTCTCTCCCTGCCCGTTTGACTGGCCAGTAATACTGACGAATCCTACACCCTGTTTCCTTGTAGGCTTCCCATCAGCCCCCATGGCCGCAATATGGCTGGTACTGGTAAGCTTCCAGCACTGAGCTGGATCGACCGCTGTGATTTTCCAAGTGGTAAAACTGGATTCTTCCTTTTCCAGCTTGGTCATTTGTATTTCCAAATCAAACTGCCAAGCCGCTACTTCCACGACAATGCCCGGTACACAACTGACCAGTGTTTCTCCCCGTAGACTGAAATAATGCAAGAGAATGCTGCTCCCTTGCTCTGGTGTTTCATCTCCGTCTTCACACCAAAATTCTGGAGCAATGAACTTGCTTTCTGGAGAACTTCCGCCTGGGTAACTCATGCGGATATGATCATGCATTCCATTAAGGTTGGATAACCACGTGCGCAGTGTGGTGCCTTGGATTTGGAGCAAAGAACTGGAAGCTCCTCTATGGATCAAGAAGGATCCAAAGAAATGGCCAAAGGGTGCCAAAATGTCATCCACTGTGACTCCCTTGAGCTCAGCACCCGCTTGCACCAGAGCCATAAAGAGCTCATCTCCGTAATAACTTCGCAGTAGGAACCCCTTTTTTTGTTTCACCTGTTCTTCGAGCCCTGCCCTTGTCATCACCTCGTCCCAGACTTCTTCGCCTCCCTGCTCTTCCGTGAAGAAGCACCCCAGAATCATAAACATTACACCGTGCATGGCTTCAACGAAAACAAACAATGGAATGCACAGCGAATTCAATAATGCAGCAGTTACAGGTCGACTTTCTTTGGAGATGAGAATGATGCCGCCGTCCCGAGGCCTGAAAAGCACGGTAAAGCTTCTTGAGCATGGAAAAGATGAGACCAACAGAACTCCGGAAGAGAAAAGAAGATTCTGGAACACTGGTTTTTCTACAGGTCATTATGACTTGATTATGACGTCAGTTTTCTTCGAATATTCGATTTCGTCTCCGGTACTTTCCCTCTTTGGCGTGGACCCCTCATTCCCTCATCCTCCATCCTCGCGATGATCCATGATCCTCCTCACCCGAGCTTCCCCACCCTGACAATAATGATTGAAGGTCTCTGCCTCGTTTTGTGCTCTTGATTGATTGATTGACTTGCTTGTGGTAAACCAAGAATGGCCCACCCACAACGAGGTGTAACATTCCGAAAATGTGACTATCTCCTGGATGTTGTGTCGAATGGATCTGAGAGTCTCGAGCCGACGGTGTTTCTGTCGGTTCTCTCGGGTGGGGATTTTTCCGAACAGCATGCCCAAGGCAGTCTGAGTCTTTCGGGGGTGACAGTTTTGGGGCGCTATGCCCTCCTTGGATTGGGCGATATGACAGCACGACTTGTGGCAGATCAGAAACTGTCCTGGGCTTGCACCAAAGCAGTATTTTGTAACAACAATCACAAGGAGTCTTCTTCTGTGTCGGCTGTTGGCACTGTCCATGGGGGTGGTCTGTGGGGATTGCCTGGGCTTCTCTTGGCCCTCAATCAAGCAGGAGCACCTGATCTGACAGTGGTCACTGGGAACGAAGAGGACGCTGGGAAAGTGGAGGAAATGACAGAACTGCTGACCATCCACAAGAAATACCCTCGTCTTCGGATTGCTTCAGTGCCACTCAATACACAGACGCCGCGCTCTTGGTGGAAAATGTACGAGGACGACTACATTGTGGTGCATGCCACTTGTCCAGTAAAATTGGAACATCTCATTTACCTGGTCACATGCCGACAGCACCAGAAAATCGACAATTACACAATGGCAGTGCTCCCCTGCATACATGCATGGTCTGTTTTCCTCGATCTGTGGCAAGAACCCTCCAACAGGGTGGTCCTGGGAGAAGATGCAAAGTGCCTTGATATACATTCTATTCTGGCGGTGGGAGAAGGAACAGCCGAGGACCTCTTTCTTTCCAACGCCCGGAAGTTGTTTCCCAATGCTCATGTCTGCTTTTGCAGGCCCAATGACAGCAGAGATCCAAGGATTTTGCTTCGGGCCAACGAAATGATCAAGTCATGGAACAAGATCTTGCCGAACAACATCATTTGGCGTGAACCAAACCAATCTTCTTGTTCTGGCTGTAGTACCGATAGCAGAGGTTCAGCAGTAGCCTCTCTGCGATGGAATTTGCAACCCTTCTCCAGCATCTTGTGTGCACAACCACCCATCTTCTTTGATAGGAGAAAACCAAGCCAACAGTCTAGTGGAACTACCAGCTTCGATCCCACAGAGACAGAAGCACAATCCACTCTAGATTTCTTTCAAAACCTTTCCGCTGTGGAAAATCAAAGCTCGACCATAGATGGGAAACCCTCGCTACCGGTAGCGGTGAATGATGAGAATGAAATCGACATTGACGACGAGAGTGATGAGGAAGCTGCTGCATCGAACGAGTCCTCAGAGACGTCTGATCGAATTGTGGAAGTAGCCGTGCAGGGAAACGGGGACGACGCCAGGGAGAATGGGTCAGTGGGACAACGTTTGACGGGATCGCCGCAAAACCCAACAAGCGCGAAAGGTCAGCACTGTCCCCACTTGCTTGTACTGGGCACTGGCTGTGCAGCACCGAGTCCGCTGAGGGGTTCCTCGGGATACGCGCTGCTCTTTCCACAGCGGTATGAAAAGCCAGCTAGTACGCCTCCCTCAGGCAACGATGGACCTAGTACAGACGACAATTTGCTATTGCTGACATCCATCGTGGAATGTGGCGAAGGTGTGCTACATATGCTACAGAGGCATCTACCGTCAATAGGTGACTCTATGAGCGACTTGGAAAATCTTTACGGTCACCTTGGGCATGTGAAATTCATTTGGATCTCGCATGCGCACTGGGATCACTATGGAGGTCTACCAGCTGTGCTTGGTGCGATTTGCCAGGCAAGAATGCAGCGCTATCGACAGAAGAACCGGCCTTTGCAAGGTCAAAAGCGAATGAAGGTTGGATCCTCTGAACTTCCTGTGTTGGTTGTAGCGCCTGTGCAAGTATTGAAATACTTGGATAGTGCTTTCCGTGGCAATGACGATATTCGATTCCACGCAAGCGTAACTGGTTTACCGTTGTATCATGGTTTCACACACGAGCAGAACGCGTTGTGGTGGCCTTTCTTGGCAAGCATCATCATTGCTGGAGGCTCACAGAATTCCTCCACGCCAATCCCCTATCGTCCATTTGCCTTTTGGGCCAATGTGCGTGTGGACCATTCTTGTTTTGGTGCGTTTGGTTTCGTCACAGGTCTCCGCGTACCTTGTCACGATCTCGGTGGAGCCTATTGTGGCTTGCCGCCTAGTCATGCTGAGACCGAAACCCCACTTGTAACATTCGCTTATAGCGGCGACACTAGGCCTTGCAAGCGCTTCGTTGACAGATGCAGATTTGATTGTGCTTTCAATCACGGGATACTCAACTATCTGTTGCATGAGGCCTCCTTTGACGATTCCGAACACTCACAAAGCGTACAGAAGAAGCACTCGTCGCTGGGAGAAGCGCTAAAAGTAGCATCCGATGCCTGTGCCCAGAAGACCATCCTGACTCATTTCTCCCAGCGCTATACAACGTATCCTCCCATGGAACTCCCGGCCGAATCCAAAGGCGTTGTCTTCGCGATGGATGGAATGCTATTTCCCTTCTCTCCTCAATAGTTGGTCGGCTCCTCTTTGGTTCCAACTGAGGGGTAATCGGTAGATTGTTTGTAAGATAAGATACCGGTATTTGCCATCTGTTATCGGAATGGATGCAAATCGATCACCCTTTTGCTCAGTAATAACGAAGTGACCTCCTCGCCGTGTTCCTCCCACGCATCGAGGATGCTTTGGGTTGTGTTGCCAAACAATTGGCCGTGTCTCAACCCAAAGACACCCGTTCTATCTAGCTTCTGGGCTAACGGGAGCATATAGTTTCGGAGAAACCCTGTTTGACCCACGAACCAACCAGAGGAGGGGTCAAACCCACGCCCTGACTTGTTTGCTTCGTGAAGCTCCCAGTAGAGCTTGTGGGACCACTTCAACATGTGATCCCATCCTTGCAGATTGTGAGCTACATCACAGCAGAGGAGCATGGTTTCCAGCACCACCGTGGCTCTCAATTCATCTGGTTGGTCAAATTCTTCCAGATGATATGTTCGTTTCCCCCGTGGTTCGTTTTCGAAAGAAGCGGCAGAGCAAATCGACCCTTTTCGAGAATAGTTCTCAATGGTTTCTCCGCCCAAATCGACTGAACGCATAATACCAAGTCTGTGTCGATACCGTTTGGCATTGAGGTCGCCGGTTGTCTTGGCAGAAGCTGCAGAGAGTCTTCGTTGCAATCGCTTCATCATATCATCACCGGTCGACATGGACGCCCTTCGCATGTTTCCTCGCATCATTGATGAATATCCGTCCGACACGTTGGTTGTGCTGCCTCTTCGACTGGTTCGCATAGACCTGGACCGCAGTGCCGCAATGGGTTGTGATGTTAACGGATAAGTCCCTTCGGAATAAGCAGACTGATGACTGCCTCCTCCGGCACTGGCACCCCCGTTTGTCTCCTTTGTATCCATTGTTGCAGGAGAGTATCCCAAGTCTTGACTTGACATGACCATGTCTAGTCGCTGATTGTTGTTGTTGTTATTATTGTTGTCCTCGCCGTCGTGTTCACTTGGATCGCTGTTGCGGCGTTCCTTGTCAGACTCGTCAATTTTCTGCAGCAATTGGGATACAATGGTGGAATCGGGAGTGCAGGAGCGGTAGTGACTTCCATCCGCATTATGATTATTATTATGATTGCTGTTGGGGTCGATGTCTTCAAAAGCTTCATCCCGATCGGACGATTCCGACAAGGATGCTTCATCTCCCAAAGCATTGTTGAGCAGATTGTATTCGACAGTGATATCGGAGAACAAGGATCCGATGCTGCGTCGCCTGGACTCTCGCACGGTACTACTACTATTGTTTTGGCGGGGTAGTGTGATTTCGGTAATGGCGGATTCTCTTCGGTCTCGTTGTTGTTGTTGTTGTTCCGTCAACAAGTGTGCCTGTTCATCTCCAAATGCGGCCTTCCATTTGTCCTTTGTGATTTGCATTCGTTCTGGATTGGCAATGTCTGTGGCTAGAACCAGATTGACGACCGTTTTTCGAAAGCCAGCATAGACTTGTCGGTTTGGAAAGATGAGTTTTCGATAGTTTGCGAATTCTGGTTGTAAGAACTCGGTAAATCCAATGGTGAGAGACTGCTGTTCCAGAGCCGACGAATCATTGTACAGGATGGAGATAGGGTCGTCTTCTAGAGCCAATTGTCGATTGGAAATGCCTGCATGCTGCACATCATGAATGAGTGCCGCAAAGACAAGTGTGAATTGCAAGTATGTGTCTCGTCTCAAGCCAAATGTTCTACATGATAATGTACTACTGCTGTGAGGTGTTGGTGCTGTCGAGTGTTGGTGCTGAGGTTGTCGTCTGTGGTTGTGTCCATTGGTGGTGGTCCGTGTGTTGTTTCCGTTGGTGTTGTGTCTTTCGTGTCCATTGTCTTGATGAGCAGGATTGATCATCATATCTAGCAGCTTGTTGGCCGATATGGTGACATGATATGCGTGTTCCCTGTTGTGATACCAATTGCGACTGTACCCCGACAGTATTCTCTTGACGTAGAGTCTGAGTTCTTGTACAATTTGTGGTGTGAGAGTTTCCGGCCACTTGTTGTCATTGAGTAGAATGGATCGACAGATTGTCGTAGTGGAAAAGTCGTCATAGTCATCGAGCGTGGAGAGAAGGGCTACCGTCCGTATGGCCATGAGGGATACAATGCGTTCGGTGATGACATCAATGTCACTGGAAGGAGCCACTTGTGGATCTTTGCTAAAGCCAAGCTTGTCCCATTCTTGAGATGTGAGGGCCAGGGCTTGAGCCGCGTGCTCTCGTGTCCACTTATTCATGTCCAATGTCTCGTCCGACGGGGCTTTCGCCACACCAAGCTCTCATTCATCAAGAAACTTGAAAATCTCTTTATGCATGGATCCCCATATGGTGCCAATCACTTCTCAATTCCTCAATGTACCGTGCCTGTTTGCCTTTCTTTCTATCTCTCTTTCACTCTCTGTCTGTCTTTCTCTCTTTCTCTCTTTCTCTCTCTCTCTCGCTCTCTCAACGGTAGCTAGTAGGGTATCACCTTCTCTTACAATTGGCACAGTCAACTGTTGGGTCCCATCAGCCAAGGTGATAGAGTTTGCGCCAATCCAATCAATGCAATGAGCTGTTTGTGGCCTCGGCCTCGATCGATGATCCAAAGTCCAAAGCCACAGCAATTGAGGTCCCCGCTTTTATTAACTAAACGCGAACCCAACCATCCACCCACGCAGTCCCGAATTGAAGCATTATTGAAACAGTTTGTTATATCCTTTGTGATTCCTTCAAATCCTGAGAATGAGTTCTTTTTTACAATGACTGTGACCGGTGCCCCCACGTGCCATTCAGGAAGAGAACACTCTATTGTCTGACCACCGTTGCTTTTAGCGCCGCGATCCACACATTCTCACCTTTCAAAGAGAGGAGATCCATGGAATAATAAAGCAGCCGATTTCCCTTTCAGCAGCAACCACCACCATACCTCACCCACTGTGTACAGACCTTTATCAATCCTTCCTTCGTCCCTTCGTCCGTGAGTTAGTTAGTCGTCTTGTTACTCAGTAAATCAAAGCCAAGTAATCAAGTCAAGTGAATATTATGGACTCGTCGCCTCCTTTGGCTGCCTTGGCGTTGGCCATTACCACTCAAGATTGGACGGCCCTGGGTTTGGGCGATGATCCCAATATCGCGGCCACCTTGGACTTTGATGTGACCGTGGAACGGTTGACAGCGCTCTTGTTGGTCCGAATTGTGGCAGTGGTGTCACCGCACGGGAAATACCGAGATCTCTCGACGACTACTATTTGTCGTGAAGCACTCTTGAAGAATGAAGCGTCCTGGGGAGATCCCATTACCGAGACTGTCATTCAGCAACTGCGAGACTACGTCTCCTCCATCTTGGCCACTTATGCTCACCAAGATCAAACACCCTATCATTCGCAAGCCCATGCCTATCATGTCACCATCAGCATGAACAAAATGTTGGATTTGATGCTCAATTCCGATATTCAAGGAGATCGCCTCCATACTACGTTTGGACTCCGACACGATCCTCTCATGCATTTGGTACTCATCTTTTCCGCACTCATTCATGATGCCGAACATCGAGGAATTCCCAATCGACAACTCGTCATTCAAGATGATCCACTCGCCATTCTATACAATGATCAATCCATTGCTGAAAATAGATCCCTCTTTCTGGGATTCTCCGAATTACTCAAAGAGCAATACAAACCACTACGAGATGCCATGTTTGTCTCCACGGAAGAATACAGACGATTCCGAAAGGCATCGGTCAATCTGATACTCACTACCGACATTGCATCGCCCGAACGAACACAAGTCGGAAAGAGCAAATGGAAAGAAGCCTTTGGAGATCCCTTTGAAACCGTCGAACGCAAGGTACGCAACGAAATGAAACGACGACAATCCATGAGCAGTGCCACCAGTCCAGGCATGCTCAAATTTGGAAGACGCACGTCCGCTGGTTCCATGTACTCGGAACTCACCACACCTGAATTTAGAGAAGGCGAGGCAGAAGATGGAGAAGAAGTCAGTCCTTCGATTACACCCGATTCCTCCTATAATGGAGATGATTACGATAGCATCGATGACGATTATTCACAAGATGGAATGATCGTATCCAGTAAACCATTCTCCAATGTCATTTCCAGTTCACACTTGAATTCCAACAAACAGCAACAACAGCACATAATGCCACGGAACGAACCCGGTAGCGGAAAATTGGGAGCGGCACAGCTGGGGTATGAACCCGATACACCATCCAACAATATTGATCTGGAATACGGTGATGATACTAATCAAAATAATAAGGGAGGATCCAACTCCAGTTTGGGGGGGACCAATGGCAACCAACATCCTATTGCGCCGCCACAACCACATCAGCACCAGCATCATAATCATCCACAACAACGAAGTCCCACGGGAAGAGTTACGCCGATACGAGGCATGTCGGCAAAAAATAAAAAGGCACTCCCCAATCCCATGGCGTCACTCCGAAATCATGGTGGCTCTGATTTCAAACGAGAAGCCGTACGCAACATGTCCATGAGCGATTTCAAGCGCGACGAACAAGGATTGCACCATACCAGTGAACACGTCGTCATGTCCAAACAAATGGCCAAATTTCAACGACGATTCTCCACATCGGTCGTACACCAGGGGAATGCACAACAAAACACCAACAGTAAAAAATACAAGTATCGATTGGGTATTCTCCGGGCAGTCGATTTGTCCGGGGAAGCCATTGAAACTTACTCGAGAGGATCGGGAACCGGTGCCATGTCCACGGCGTCGCTCAAGACCCCTTCGGTGCGGTCGCCACCGGGAACCGTCGTCGGTGCCATTGCCGATGAAGTGGACGAGTTGAAAGTTACAGTGGTCATGGAACAACTCATGACGGCATGTGATGTCGCACACAACCTGCAATCCTGGGAACACATGGTCAAGTGGTCCAACCAACTCTTTCTAGAGCTCAAAAAGGCACACAAAGAGGGACGAGGTGGGGATCCAAAGAATAACTGGTTTGAAAATCAGATTGGATTTTTGGAAAGTTACCTGTTGCCACTGGCACGGCGATTGGAGGATACAGGGGTTTTTGGTGATGTCATTGGACCTGTTTTTGCACGTATTGTAGAAGCCAATCGGGATAAATGGCTGACAGATGGATTGAGCGTCACATCTGACATTATTTTGGAAGGAGGGAGGAAGTATCCAGTGGAGGGAGACGTTACTGCAGCGGCGACGTAGAGATGCCACGCGGACATTTTTGCTTTGGTGCGATGGTCGGTTCCAATTGAACGCATCTCGCGATCCTTGCCTACTGGCGGCGTCGCCCTAGCCCATGTGCTCGCCCGGGGTTTCTCGAATCCGCGATCTTCCGCTTCAGCAAGTGCCTGGACATGCCACGCTGAAAGGAACCTGTCGTAGAACTTAGCTCATGGGTAGGTGTCTAGCTAGTTCTCGGTCATGTTACTTGGTATCGATAGCAAAGTAGAAAGTTCTCTCGTCGTCGAGTCCAAATCTCTTTTTTGTTGAAGAAGAGCACACTGCTTCACTTGGTGCCTACGACTGTAACCTCGGTTAGTCCCACTCGGGGGGGTCTTCAAAGCATTCCATCTTTATGTCTGAGTAGCACTCGAGGCCCTTCACCCTGTGACTGCTGCACCGGCTTCGAGTAGAGGCTGCACCCAATATTGCTGCTGCTCCCGTCTGCAGATGGTGTGGTCATTGCAGCAAATCCACCAGCTAGTTCTTGCCTTCTAGCTAGCTAGCCATACAGTGGGGCGTGCGGTGTCGGGGCCAGGGACCACAACATCGAGGTAGCCTTGGTTAGGTCCAAGGCCCGGCAATACCTGCTGGGGGCGAAGAACGACGTCTTTCTCCCTGCGAATCCTAACTTCGGCCAGCCAACTACAGTGGATTACGATTTGCAGTATTATTAGCAGCGTATCTTAATCTTAGACCATGCAAAGTGGGAGGGATTGAATGTATAAATGTTCTCCTTGCCAACAGTATTTACCATTCGGCTTCGTATTGGGCGACACGACGAAATTCACCCCCATCACTGTGAGCAGCAACATGACCGTTCCAACTCTTACAGGATGCTCGGGGCGGAGTAGTGCACCCGTCAAAAGGCTTGCGACAAGCCCACCGAACATAGTGTGGCAACCTCCTAGTCATTTGATGGTAGAAGACTCCCACGGAATGACTCAAGGCGAAAAGAGTCGTCAGGACATAGCTGAGCAATGCCAGAAACTCCACAAGGATGCTATCCAACACCAATAACAGCAAGTCCAATCCTCGAAAGAGAATCATCAATGATCCTGGTAGTATATAGAGTGGGGCAGTGCAGAGACGGAACCTTGGCAGCACATAACAGATGTTGGCACAGATCGCTGCAAACAAATAGAGAACGGTAGATACCAGCTGAAGGGACATAGCCACTGCAGTGGCACTGAGGAGGAGGGAAAAGCCTAGGATGATGGGAATGAGACCTCCATGCGCGGGGTAGTGTGTGGGTGTAGCAGGAGTCGGTTGCTTCTTGGAGGGTCGTTGTTCCCGAAGCTGCTCGGGAGTCTGGGTCTCATTTGTGGCAACTGTGTGCTCTTCAATAACGGATGCCACAGTGGTTCCACCAGTTGTGGATGATGAACCATACCACGCGGCAGCCTGCGCTTCGGCAAAGACAGTGGCCCATGGATTCCCTGGGATCATAAAACGAGGATCGATTGTCACTTCCGCATTCTCGGGATGCAAAGTAGCAATCCAGGTGATGTATGAAGCATCGGGATTTTGATCAAGATACGAGTCTAGATGGTCTCGAATCAATGTCACTCCTTGTTCACGAGCTTCGGCAGCGGCAGCTTCAGCAAGAGCGTCATCGCTGGTAAGCCCATTCTGATTTTGGCCAGTCGCGAGAGAGGCAGCAATTGCGGCACCCATTTCATCTTGGTAAGGAGCGGAAGGAGTCACCAATTCCACTGGTTCTCCGTCAGGTGCAGCCACATAGCTGTAGACTTCTTCCTCTCGTCGGTCGGGTTCTACAAAGGGGCTCTTGTTCAGTGTCATGGCATCAGATTGCTCTTGTTGTGATGTTGTGGCTTCTTTATTGATGCGAGAGGACGAGTTCCGCAGTGGCCTTTCTGAGTATTGTACGATGTAGTATCCCTGGCTGAAGGCAATGGCTGGTGGGAATGAAGTTAAGTCGTGTTGAGATTTGAAAGATCCAATTGGCCACTTCGCTGGCTTGTATTCAGACTCAACCGCAATGTAAACAGAAGTACCGGTGGCGGTACTCTAGAGTACCGGTACCAGGTAGCCAGCTCAAACAAGGAGCATTATGCCATAGTTCACAAAGGTGACGGCGGGGTCCGGAGTTTTGCATGGGTTGGGGCAGCCGGGGCTGCAACAACAAGGGCAACAACAAGGGCAGCAACAATACCGCTGTCGGTAACAACGGATTTGTTCAACCGCCACAAGAAGCACCTGTATCAGTGATTGCAAAGAAGGCAAGGTTTCTGAGAAAGAGCTCTTCAAGATTCTGTTCTCGTGGAAATTTGAAGGGGCAAATGCACCTTCAGTGGTAGTCAGTGCAAACTTGAGATCATCAACCATGGAAGGATATCACAATGTTACCAAAGAGTTAGAGTTGACTTAGCATGTTGGCTTTGGTAAGACGAATTGTCAAAGACAGCTCAGTCCGTCCATCAGGAGTGGTCCCGGTCCCCGCCGACAGGTTCTAGTCCTTCCCAACAGGTTCTTGGGTGTCTATAGGTTCGAAAAGCAGTCTCTATTGGCAGAAAGAAAACTGATGCAACACCTACATGTACTGGTAGACACTACCGGTACCAGGTACCAGTACCGGTACGAGTAGATCGAACGATGCCTCCGGGTCATCCACGCTTTGCAGACCGTGGTTTCGGAGGTTGTTGAAGTCGCGCGCTCATCGCGCAATTTCGATACCACTTACTAAAATCCGCTCCTCAGCCTCAGAAGCAATTGCCGCAGCGCCCATGCAGCCCAAACCACAGCTGCTCTCCTTGTCAGGTTTGACAGAAAGCACACCCAGGGCCACCCACGTCTGTTGCTATCGTCCGGTTGTCAAGACAGTTGTGTTATCCACTTATTCCAACGATCAGGTGAGTAAAACCATGGTGGTTACGTTGCGGAGGCAGCAGAAGAGATCGAGAACGACGGGGTATCCCTCGTTGTCGGACTGGCGACCCTTTGTTGGTAGCAACATGCCAACAGCCAGGCCAGCAAACGGCGACACCCCCATCGCGTGTGTTTATGCTGTCGGCAGTGAAAGGTCATGACGTCCTGATTTGTCTTTCATGACGGATGCTGCTGGATAGTGGTCTTTCCTTTTCGATGGCGGAGGTACCCTGGCGGGCTGCGGGACGAGCAGGATGCTGGGAACGTCAACGCATCTTTTCTGATAGTTGCGTTTTGTTGGGCTGCGAGCTGATGCGTTGTCCTTGTTATCAAATGGATTAATCGGAATCCTTTTCTCACTCTGCGATCCCTTGTTTGGCTTCTTTCAGTTGTAATTCCCCCTTTCCGCTACTAGCCTTAGAAACGCCAACATGCCTGCTGATCTTCTACACCCCGACGCAGAAACTGAAGCCCGCACACACAAGCTGAAAAGACTTGTGCAGAGCCCAAATTCATTCTTCATGGATATCAAGTGCCCTGGGTGCTTTCAAATTACCACAGTCTTTTCACATGCTCAAACTGTAGTTAAATGTGTGGGCTGTGATATTATGCTTTGCCAACCTACCGGTGGTAAGGCTCGTTTGACAGAGGGATGCTCCTACCGAAAGAAGGTTGATTAAAGACCTCTAAAGAAATTCAAACAAATGCCTACCAACTCACAAAGCAGAACTTATCTACTCTAGACTAATAGCACTACTTAGGGCTCAATTGCTCTTGGTCTACCAACAAGATCGAAACCTTTCTTTAGGTGGTGTGTACTAGCTAACAGTGATCCCGTAGCTGACGGTCGACCTTATCCGCACAAGAGTTGCGTTATCAAATGCTTGCAGAAGGAATTCTTCAATCGATGTGGGCCCATCGGGCAGCTTTTCACGTCTTCATCGGGCGGAGCTAAAAACCACCGAGGAAAGATGAAAAAGTTACGGGTTGTGAAGTGCGTTTATTAGGAGACGAGAAACACTGCCTTTCTACCTTCATCAACACTGATTTGCGAAGCACTCTGTCAATGTGCCAACCAATCGGGGCTTCTTTACCGGTATCATGCGTACACGCCGCCAACTCTGCATGGCAGTAGAAGCAAGGAGCCGATTAGTGCTGCCTACCGTACGGCAAACAAGGATATATTTCTCCCTTTTCCTGGGGGGGACTCCCAAGCTGCGACAAGTACATACCGGTACCCTCTCAACTGCAACAGATTTTAGAGCAGAAAGCTAGCCACTGGCTTGTAGCCGAGCCCTTTTGAAACGACTCGACTCGACTCGACTCCACTGAACCATAATGCTACTAGAAGGGAGGATGCTTCGCACTTCGCACCAAGGTTGGTCAGGTCGTTTTCTTTGCTATTTCATAGAAAAGAGAGCCTCAACTCGACCTTGTACCGTACCAGTAAGTGTTGCTAAGCAGCTCTGCCAGCTCTAACCTCATTTTTGGCGACGATTAGGGTTGGAAGTAAGTTTTTAATGGTTGTCCAACAATGACAAAGCCACGCAATCCCGCGCTGCCGCCTTGGATACCGGTGGTATCAGTACGGAACATCGCACATACAGCTGACACCACCAGCCAGCGATGATGGCGACGGGACGCACATCAAATTTATTGCATTCTGGATGTCATTATAAGAGACAACTATTAGTGGTATCAGTAGGTCAAACTTTTTTCTGAGTTTGTGCCATTGTCTAAAGGTCTCGGTGTAGGATATTGGATTTCAAGGCCAGGCTGAAGCGAAGAGGGTAGCATTGGAGTTCTTTCTTATTTTAACTAAATGGATCCAACATGTCTTCGGCTCGCTACGGTTCCTCGGAGCTACCTCCCCCTCCACCGCCTATGGGCCCTCCTGGATCGACGTCATCTATCGAGAGCCCCGGGCCTTCTCATCACACTTGGAATTCCCTCATGTCGGATATCACAATGAGTGAAGATGAAGAAGGACACAATCATCAGCACCAGAGCAATCATAGAAACTACCGTCCATCTGAAGCAACGGAGGACAGTGCTGCTTCACTATTGGAATATTCTCAATCCAGCGAGGAGGCATACACTCATAAACGCGAGGGGACATCCAGCAGCAGTCTCTTGGGTTCTGCATTATCGGGAGGTACCTCCAATTTTCGATTTCGAGATGATCTCACCAGTTCCAGTCGAGTGGTACGTCTCCCTTCGCAAGGAGAAGATAATAATAAAGGCAACCGTCCACACCAATATCAGCAGCAGCAAATGCAAGCCGTGGAAGAAGGGACCTCGCTGCTTCCCACGGAAAAGTTATCATCCGACAATAATCATCAACGACGGCATAGAAAACATCCTCCTCATCATCATAAACAACGTGGAGGAGGAGCTCCAGTCAATCGGTCAACTTTCCTTTCAACGCCCAACCGATGGGTAGCACAATTAGCATATTCCTTTCGAACCCCACCAGCACCCAAGCAAAGAAAACAAGCCATGAATATTGATGAAGCTGCTGGAGAGTTTCAACAACGTGGCAGCGAAGCCAGTGCACACACTGCCACCAAATCCAAAGGAAGCAAAAAGGGTACCGGTAGCAGAAGAAAGGTGGCTGTTCATAAAGGTCAAGGCGAACATCATCATGTGGCTGTACACTTAAACAAGTCAGAAGCCAGTCCCTTGTTGCCGCTCAAGGAAGACGAAGAAGTTTTCAACAACCAAACATTCCCCAAAAAACAATATCATCACCGCCACAATGTGCAGCATGGACACCACAAACTATTTGCTTCCAATCATGTTCACAGGCATCCGTATGACTACATCTCCATGGCGGTGGCTTTCCTCAAAGATTACGAAGCAGCCCGCCCTCCCACATTGGCGCCCAATATCTCCATAATCACTCCGTGGCACATGGGCCTTTATAGACTCAAGTATTCGACACTCTACTCGCTATTGATTGCATCCGCAACAGTCGCGCTGTTTTTGTCCAGTGCCTTGGAAGGACCTTCTCCAACCGATTCCAACATTCGCATGCATACACTCAGTGGATTAAACATTTATGCCTTGGTCATTTTTGGTACCGACATGTGGATACGATGTCAGTTTCTCAAGGCGCAACGTGCCGCTCGAAAAGTCAAATCAAGCAACAATGGATCTTCCGGTTCCAGGCATCAAATGATGAGGGGTCTGCCTCCCATTCAAACTAGAACGAGCCAAGCCAGTCTCCTGATGCGGCCCTTGTGCTTGTTTGGATTGTTCTTGGGATTGGAGAACTTGGGGTGGCTAATCGCACGGCCAGATAGAACCTTTGTGGTCTTGTATTCGAGTATTTGGAAGCCGATTGTGCTGTATTACATCTCTTCCCAAGCACGGCACGCCATGGAAGCCCTCCTTCGGATTGCCCGCATTGTGACCAAAGTGCTGTTCATTGAATTGGTGCTGATTCTGAGCTTTGCAGCTGTAGCTGTGAGACTATTTGGAAGCGACTTTGAATCCTTTCGCCATCTTTCCGTGGCGTGGCTTTCTCTCTTCAAGCGTAAGTTTGTTGTCGGACACGTCGTAACGTAGGCAATGCTGCAATCTGTTGAGCCTGACTCGCATGATGTACTCCGTCATTCTGTTTCTCTCTCCCCCAGTGTCCACTACGGTTGTCAACCCAAGCATATGGATGCCAATGTGAGTCGATTCGATTCTGATTCCGCCGGTCAGATCTTGATCTAGTTGAAAAAGGAATCAACGTGGCTCATTTCATTCTCGCGTTCTGAATTCAACAGGTACCAATCGACGCGATGGTCTGCCATCTACTTTGTATTGTTTATTATTGTCACATTGTTCTACATGCATTCGCTCGTGTTATCAGTGGTGTTCCAGACCTACATCCAAGCCGCTTCGGAAATCCACGACCGTTCGGTAACAGATAGAGAGAATGCACTTCAACTGGCCTACACCGCCCTTACGAAGCAACATCAACAGGATGCGAGAAAGCGAAAGGGCGCTTTGCAAAAGTCACAGACAGAAGATTCCCAGCTTTCACAGCAACCTGGAATTCCAATGTACCTAGTTCGGGAGGCCTTGGAAAGTTTACGGCCACACTACAGCACACCGAAAATCAATGCATTGGTGGAAATGTTCGATACGGCCAATGTCAGCGACGTCGACTATTCAACATTTCGGACTAAGATTCGGCAGGCTTTGAGCGCAAGAATCCGCACAGTCCGCATTGCTTCACCCTTGGCCGTGTCGATCGAACTGTTGGCAGTTGTAGTTGCAGGGGTCAATTTTGTTTACGTGATATTGCTCACCTCGGATTTCAGTGCTCAATGGTTTGACGCCATTGAACTTGAATTGGGGGCAGTTATCACCGTTGCAGGCCTTGCGGAGTTACTGATGAGGGCAAATCCATTAAGACTGCCAAACTTCACACCTTTGAAAAGGTTTAATTCGGCCTTCGACGGCCTCGCCATCGTCGCAGGCTTGATATCATCTGTTGGTTCGTACAGTACCAATAATAGTCTGGTGCTCTCTCAATTGTGATGCCGTTCTCAACTTGTTGCCTTCCTTTTCTCTCGACAGGAGTTGGGCTTGCCTTTGTCGACCGTTCTGAAGCGCTTGAATATATTTTGATGGGTCGCGCGATGGACATGGTTCGAGTCATGCGTTTCTTTCGAATCTTTCGAGACGTTGTCCGCCGCAGTGCAGATGTCCTCCCTGCCATGAGTGGCCCCGTTACCCTTGTGTTGACTATGCTCCATATCTTTGTGTATATTGGAATGGCCTTTTGGGGCGGAGCTATTGAAATCGGGGAGCACGGAGATCAGATCACACCGCTTTATGACTTGAACAACTTCAATTCGTATCACGAGGGTTTGGTAACGATGTGAGTCCAGAGCTACGCACGGCTGTACATGCTGACCTTCTGTGGGTATACTCATTCCCCTCATTGCAACTTTCAGGTTCCAAATCATGGTTGTCAATGACTGGCACGCTATCGCGGAGGTGTTCTTGTACGCGAAACGATGCGCAAGTCCACGGATTGTTTACCCCTTCTTTGTCATCGGAAACCTGGTTGGAGTCAGCATCCTTTTGAACGTGATCACTGCTTTTTTCGTCGAAGGTAAGCCACCGAACTTGTTACCGCGATGCAGGCCTAGCTAGACCCACTCGAATCGCCACTAACGTATTTGTGACACAGCTTTTGTGACCAAGCTGAGTGGCCATGATCGCAACGTGGAACGAGCACCACAATCGGCGAGAGATTTTAGCATCAGAACGTCCGAGAACTCAACCTTTCGACGAATCTCATCGTCTCACAACCTGTCGTCTCACAACCTCTCATCGTTGGGCGGAGAAGACTACGATGCAGCCCACGACGCTGACTCGGAGGGTAGCTCTGATAGTTCTGAGCTGTTTGAGTTTGACGTTTACGAGAGAGAAGGATATGATAGGATCATCCAGACTGTTTCCGGTGTCGACTCTAGGGATGATTTTGCACGCCAAGTTGCGAGCCATTTCGAGTTGTTCGAGGGTCTCACACCTGGCCGGTAAGTGGCTTGATTCATGTATTCTGTACGAGGAACACCAGGCTTCCTTTGAATGGTGCTAACCGAGTACACAACGTCTACTTCCAACAGTGAACGGGTTGGTTATCTAGTTTGCTGCCAACAAACGTTGAATCGGTACGGAAATCGTCGGTTTGAAACTGATGCCGCAGATTTTGTGGCAAAGATGGAATTGCACGCCTTGGTCAGCAACATGCACGGGGAGTTGTTAGTGCTTTCGTCAAGAGAAACGTTCGACCACCGCTCTCTGGTCCGCATGATACCTCATCGTACGGATCCGTCTAGGAAACTTGAAGTGTCTGCAACCATTCTCCGGCGTCATCCCGCACTGTCGCTCTTTGCATCGAGGGTTATCAGTGGAGACTAAGAGAGTCCCTGACCCGACTTTATGGCTGCCTTTTTGTGAACGGTAGAAATTGTAACAAAGTTGTTCTATTTGTAGTCGTATTACCAAGTTTCCTGTCCATGTTGTTAGATAGGCAAGCAAGCTGGTTGCCTCTACTAGATGTACGGAGGAGTGCCAATGGCATTGACACGATCAGATAGAACATATTTCCATATGAAGCTGCTTTGAAGTTGCTGCACAGCTAACAAAAGAAAGCTCCGGACCACCGGTACCAGTACCATACCGGTACGGTACATGTAGCTTGCCAAAGAACAAGCGCACTGTGACGGTCGCGGGATCGATCGAA